GTGAATATACATAGGAATTTCACCGGCTCAGTGCCCGAAATAATTTGAATGAATCTGCCAATTAGTTGGTGGCCAGGTATATTGGGGGATTACGGGAAGCAATTCAAGACAAATTGGAGTTAAATGCCATATGGTCGTTGTCTCAAGCTATCAATTATGCTATCAAGGTAGAAATGCAGCTGAGCAGACACCAGGCTAGTCGATCTCACCGTCGCACAAGTGATTACGCCACCGAAGGCAGCAAGGCAACGTTCCCGCACACAGGCTACTCCAACAAGTCTGCGACCGCACCTGCTGCACCAATGGCCCCAACAGCTAATAGTTCTAAAGGGCCAGAAAACAAGCAATACCAGAGGAATAAAGCCCCAGTAAGAGAGAATCCATATGCTAAAAATCCTAACATCAAATGCTTTCGGTGTTTCCAACAGGGACATAAGTTAAATGAATGTCCAACTCGTCCCCAACTACAATTGCTAGAAGGCGACGAAGAAGACAAAGCTGAAAATATTGAGGGCACATTGGAAGAAGATCTGGAGGACGTAGTGGGTGCTGAAGGAGAGTCGGTCTTGTGCGTAATACAAAAACTGCTCCTAGCTCCTAGACAGATTGTCAATTCACAAAGGTATGCACTGTTTAAGACTAAATGCACAATTCAAGGAAAGGTTTGTGACCTATTAGTTGACAGTGGGTGCACAGAAAATATGATATACCGTATGGTGGTTCAGGCTTTACAGTTGAAGACATCCAAGAATCCAAGTCCGTACAAAATCAGTTGGGTCAAAAAGGGCGTGGAAATTGCCGTGACCGATTTGTGTAAAGTGGCATTTTTAATTGGTCGACATTATGCGGGCAAAGTATTGTGTGATGTCATAGACATGGATGTTTTTCACCTTATCCTTGGACGCCCATGGCAGTTTGATGTGGGGGCTATGTATGATTGCCAGCTAACACATATTCATTTGACTGGAAGGGAAGGAAATTGCGGTTACTTCCCCGCACGACAGACCAAGAAGTGATTAAATCGAGTCCAAAAACGGCTCTATACGCCGTCACGGAGAAGGCCTTCCTCAATGCTTGAAGAGAGTCTAATTGCATAATGGCCTTAATTGCTCAAGAGCAGAACATTGACGCTGATACTCCGACATTGCCTCAGGAATTTAATATGCTGTTACAGCAATATGCTGATCTTTGTCCGCCCGAATTGCCAGACGAATTGCTGCCCATGAGGGCTATTCAACACCAGATTGAGATAATTCCGGGAGCCACTTTACCTAACTTGCCTCTTTACAAAATGAGCCCGATTGAACATCAGGCCCTCCAACAGATTGTGGATGAGCTGCTGACGAAGAATTTGATCCAACCAAGTGTGAGCCCCTATGCGGTGCCGGCCTTGTTGGTGCCCAAGAAAGATGGCACATGGAGAATGTGCATGGACAGTAGAGCCATCAACCGCATCACAGTAAAATTTCATTTACACATGCCGAGAATCGAAGATATGTTGGATAGATTATCCGGAGCAATCATATTCTCAAAAATGGAATTGCGCAGCGGTTACCACCAGATACGAATTCGTACAGGTGATGAATAGAAAACAGCCTTCAAAACACGCCAAGGACTCTACGAATGGAAGGTCATGCCTTTTGGGTTGTGCAATGCGCCGACGACTTTCATGCGGTTGATGAATGAGGTGCTTAAACCGTTTTTTAACAAATGTTGCGTTGTCTACTTTGATGACATATTAGTGTACAGTGCCAGTCGTGAGGATCATCTTCAACATTTAAAGGCCCTGCTCGATACTCTTAGGAAGAACATATTGTTTTTGAACCTTCACAAATGCAAGTTTGCTACAGAGCAGGTCGGATTCCTCGGGTTCCTAATTTCAGCAGAGGGCATTAGTGTGGACCCAAGAAAGGTGGAAGCAATAGAAAACTGGCCAATTCCCCGCTCCTTGTCGGACATCCGAAGCTTTCACGGGTTAGCTAATTTTTATCGAAAATTTATTCGAGGATTTAGCAGTATAATGGCTCCTATTACAGATATTCTGAAGCAGCCACAGTTCTCATGGGCAGACGAACAGCAACAGAGTTTTGAGGCCATCAAATTGGCACTCGCATCAGCTCCGGTATTGGTATTACCTGATTTTAGTAAACCATTCACGGTTGATACTGATGCATCTACCATTGGCATTGGGGCAATGCTATCTCAAGGCAAAAAACCGGTGGAGTTTTTTAGTGAAAAGCTATGTCCGTCATGCCAAAGATGGACAATTTACGAACAGGAGTTGTATTCAGTAGTTAGAGCTTTGAAACAGTGGGAACATTATCTATTACATCAAGATTTCGTACTTTGCAGCGATCACAAGGCTTTAAAATACATCAATTCACAAAAGAACATTAGTCAGATGCATGCTCGTTGGATCAACTTTTTACAGCGATTCACCTTTGTTTTACAACATAAAAACAGGGTGCAAAATACGGTCGCTGACGCTTTGAGCAGAAGGGATGTTCTTATCACCCGGCTACAAACCGAATTTTTGGGTCTCAAATGCCTGAAAGATTTATATCTGGAGGATGAGTACTTCAAAGATCACTGGGCTAAATGTTGCAAACAGGAACCTGCCGCCGACTACTCTACCCGTCATGGATTTCTATTTAAAGGGCACCTATTGTGTGTACCTTCTTCATCATGGAGGCAACATTTTATTAAAGAAGTTCACGCAGGCGGCTTATCTGCGCATATTGGCCGGGATAACACTATCGTGCAGCTCCAGCAACGATTTTTTTGGCCTCATTTACGGCGAGAAGTATCGAAGTTTGTCGAAAGGTGTTCAATATGTCAAACGTACAAAGGGGAGGCCAAAATACCGGGTTATACTAGCCACTGCCCATACCGTAGTCCATCTGGGAAGATTTAAGCTTAGACTTCATGCTAGGCTTACCGAGAACCAAACATGGCAATGACTCGATCATGGTAGTGGTCGATCGATTCTTCAAGATGGCGCACTTCATTGCCTGTAAAAAAAAACATTTGACGCTCTCAACATTGCCAAACTTTTCTTTAAAGAAATTGTGCGCTTACATGGCATTCCACGAAGCCTTACGTCCGACAGAGATGTTAAGTTCATCAGCCACTTTTGGCGAGAACTTTGGAAAAGGTTGCACACGCAAATTCAGCTAAGCTTGTCATACCACCCGTAGACCGACGGCCAAACGGAAGTGGTGAACCGTACATTGGGGAACTTATTACGTTGCTTAGTTCAAGATAACCCCAAGCTCTGGGATGAGCTCCTCGGCCAAGCTAAATTCGCATTCAACTCAATGACGAATCGTTCTATTGGTATGTGCCCATTTAGTATTGTTTATACTAAAGTACCCAACACTGTTCTTGATGTTACAGTGCTGCCGAAGTGCAAAAGCAAGTCCGCAGCAACTTTGGTGGAGAATTACACAGAATTCTTATCAAATATTCGTCTAAAACTGCAAGAATCCAATGCCAAATACAAACTAGACGCTGATGCCCATAGACGTGAAAAGCTTTTCAAACCAGGGGACCTGGTTCTTGTGAGATTGAAACAAGAGCGACTTCCAGTGGGCGAGTATTCTAAATTGGGCAAGAGAAAATGGGGGCCTTTTCCTGTTATCAGTAAGATTAATGATAATGCATATATTGTTGATCTACCGGAGGAGTTTAACACATCCCGTACATTCAACGTCAAAGACCTCTAATCTTACTATCCTCCTGATGAACTTGGATCTCAAATGCAATCTGTTGGTACAGATGTTCTTCTTAGTGGGGGCGAATGATGCAGAGCATTATCCTCTTATGCGGTTCAAGGAAGTATATTATCACTTATTTGCATCTTTAGCTATTCCGTTATTCTGGATTCAAGTTCCACTACTTAGTTTGCTTTAATTGGTTAGACAATACAAAATACACCTTTTTCCTTGTTTAACTTTTAATAGAAGAGATGGCATATAGTAGCCAGAGCTGTATGGTTGAAGGTAGAATTTTTCATCTTGAATCAATACTATCAAACTCCACAGTAACCTGTGAGTATTATTTGCTAATTCCTCTGTTTGTTTCATCTATTCGCAAGTGCTGCGGCATCATTATTTCAGACTTTTGAACCGTCAACATTTAAAGGTACAAGTGATCCAAAAATAGCTGAGGATTAGTTGTTGAAGATAGGGAAAAACCTAGATGACATGATCTATCCTAAAAATAAAAAAAGGTACCATTGGCCACATTTGTTCTGGAAGGAAAGGAAGAAAGATAGTGGCAAGCACGATAGAAAAAAATTTGAACGGATGTCTATCACTAGTATATAGTGGGATGATTTTGTGATAGTATTCAGAGATTTGTTCATTCCTTATTCAGTCAAATTAGCTTTGCAAGATAAATTCTTCCATCTAACATAAGTTTCAAAAACAATTATGCAGTACGAAAATGATTGACTGATATAATATAATATACCGACGAATAGTAAATGACAACTTCTTACATAAAATACATCTAACTTATGATATGTGACAAGAGAATAATTCCTGAAAATAAATATAAGTATTTGCGCACAACATAATTTAATAGTTTTTCTAGTAATGTATTATTAGCTACACTTCTAGGGTGAGCCTTGAGGAAAATAGTTTACTAATGTTGGTAAAAATTTATTCCCAAGATGATCAAACCTAAAGATGAAAAGGCATATGGAAATGATTCCATCAGAATCTAGAACAGTTCAACCTAAAGATGGCTCATAAGCTAGTTTAAACTTCAATCATCAACAAGCTTAAATTGAGCTTATCGAACCATGAATTTGAATTAGAGCTTAAATTCGAACAGATATATTATTATATGAGCTCAAGCTTGACCCCACTCAACTCAACTTGTCAGCTCGTTAAACAGACTTGATTAATATCAATTGGCACATCAACATTTATATTGACTTAATTAATATTTTCTTGTCTAGACTCCGAAATAAAATTAATTTCCAAAAACAAATCAAGCTTAAACTTTCTTATTGAGATTGATCCACATTATTCACTCGAGCTGAGTTTGAACTCAACAAATGAGCTTGAGCTTGAGCTAAGTGTAAATTAAATAAGTTTCGCTCGATTAAACAAGAACTCGACTTATTTACACCCTCAACCGCAAGAGTTGCCGCCGAAGCAAGAAGAGTTAAATGCCACCCAAACTAAGCACACTCAAATTTGGGACTAAAAATATATAAAGAGTTTCTTACTGCCACTTATATTCCATAAAATAAACAGAAGAAGATTACAGCCAAAGATAAGTCAGCAGCTCCACATGAACAAGGCTTAAATCAATCAAAGCGGATACCACCCATGAAAGTCTTAGGATCAGGACAAGACCCAGAAAATTGGGCCTGAGAGAAATCAAACCCCGGGTTCTGCAAATCCAAGCAAGAAAAAAGAAAAAAATATTAAAATATTGGCAGTAGTTGAAATATGTAATAAATCAAAGTAATTTAGGCCAGACCTCCTCTTGGAACCTCTGCAACATAAGCCGTTTCTGTTCGAGATCTGCAGAGTAAGGATCCAGTGTGCCCTGTCCGAGAATTGGAGAAGACCAAGTGTGTCCTTTTTCCCGTTTGGTTAGTGTGACATGCATTGTACCATCCTCTACAAAGTAAGTGGCATTAAATTTTGATCAGAAAAGAAATTATGCCAGCACTGTTAAGAAACCTAAAGGCATGAAATTAGGGGTGACGATTCGGGTCAACGGGTCGGGTTCGGGTCAAACCTGATTTGACCCGGCCGTAAACAGGTTGACCCTAATCCGACCCGATTTTGTAAACGGATCATGATTGTGCAACAGTAGTACGGAAACTACGCAATAGTAATATAGCAGCTGCGCAAATCACTAGTGAGATGTGTATTTTGTTTTTTTTTTTTTCTAAATAATTGCTGTAGTATCTAGTTTATACATGAAAGGTCTATTATGTAATGGAACTTTGTGTTTTTGATCCAGGGAAAATAAAACAATGGAAGATTTATCTCAATTCCTTTGCTTGGTCATTATAAAGACTAATTGTTTTGTGCTTTTTTGTTTTACTTATATAAGTTTCTTAAGAATGTTCAATTCGGAAGAAGTCTATATCCCATTATCTCAGGAATATCTAGATCTCTGCGGTAAAGAACAATCTTAGATTGTGTGGTCGCTTTTCAAAGATAAAGATGATTGATCCTTTAAAATAGGATGCATGGGGCTTTTGGAATTGGTAGGAAGTAAATAGGGCAAGAAAATTAGATTTTCTAGGAAATACCTCGAGTTTTTACTATTTTTGGACCTCAACGGTAACCATTAAACAGGGAGCAAAGAACGTATAGTTTTACTTTTAGATGCATTGAAATAGGTCCCAGAAGTGGAAGGTGCTAGACTGACTCTACGAATGTAGAAGGTGAAGGCCGGCGGGCGTTCATTAATGGAGAGAGGGAGAGGGAAACAGAAGATATTGGAGGAAAGGAGGAAGTTTTGAAAGAGGGAGTTCAGATTTTCATTCAATCTAAACTTGATTTCATGTCACAAACTTGATATCTACTATTAGGATCCCAAAAAAATCTAGAAGAATCTATTTAAATTCAAATGAAACTAGAAGATAAACTACCCCACAAAAGGGCTTACTTTTAGATTCCCTCTTTAAAAAATAACCACCCCTTAAAATAAAGAAAAAAATAATGGAGTGAAATCAGGTTTGTTTTTCTTTATTCTCTCCATTTAAAACTCTTCCCTGATCACCCGTATTAGACATCAGCATATGGGATTAGATCCAAAAATCAGATGTAAAGAATGGGTTATAAACATGGCAGGACAACCAACACTTATAAAGCCTACCAAAAAAGAAGGCACAAACACATTCCACAAGCATAAATGACAAATGGGTCAACATATGTAGTAAAGCACTAGTTTAGTCTTTCTTTTAAGTTTGGTTAGGTAGACAAGTTATATATTGTAAATTACATCTACACAAATACTATAACTACATCTTGATGTGGATCAAGAAGCATAAACCCCTCACTTTTTGGATATTAAAATTACAAATTTGCAATCATGCCCCTTCAAAGATTAATTATGCAAATATTTTTTGAGAGCCTCATAGATAGGGGTGTCAATATTGGACACGACCCGAAAACCCGACTCGAAACTGACCCGAAAATTACGGGTTATGGTCAACCGTAATTTCTTATTATGTTGCCTAGACCTGTGAAGTCTTCCGTCAAAACTCAAAAGGTACTGTTCTACAACTGTCGCATGTCATTGTCACTAGGGGTGTCAATTTCGGGTAGGGGTCACGAGCATGTTCGGGTCGAACCTGGAACTGACCCGGCACAGTTCGGGTCAACCTGAACCCGACCCATTTTTACAAACGGGTCGATTTTATGGATCCGAACCCGACCCGCTTCGGATTCGGGTCAACCCGAGGCGACATGAATTTTTTCGTGTTTTGCTGAAGCGCGCGAGAAAATGAGCGAGCTCCCGTCACTACTTCCATTTTCGGCACAGCGGTAGCGGCGCAACAGCGACTCGACGCGAACTCGCGGTGCAGCAAACACTCGACACGAACTGGCGGTGCAGCAGCAGCGGCGGCGGCGGTGCAGCAGCAACAACGGCGACGGTGCTGCAGCAGCAGCAGCGGTGACAGCCTCGAAGGAGGCGAACTAGCGACTCGACAGCTGACAAACTGACTGCCTGAGCGACTGCGACTTGACGCGTCGGGTCATTTCTCGGGCAGGGCGGGCATGCCGGGCAACAGAAACGGGCAGAATCATTTCCGGGTCATTTTCGGGTTTTCGCGTCAACCCGAACCCGACCCGTAACTCAAATTGTGTCAGATTTTCGAACCCGAACCCGACCCGTTTGCAAACCGGGTCCCCCAAACCTAGATTATTCCGGGTCGAGTTCGGGTCGTGTCAAAAATTGACACACCTAGCTGTCACTCACTATCTTTCTTTTTTTTTTTTGGAAATTGTCACTCACTATCTCAAATGCAGAACTATTTTAGAAATAATAAATTAATACTTAATTGCCTTTAGATATTTGACACATCATCATTGGGGATAAATGAAATGGCTGCTTTTAACCGTTACAGATTTTATGAAATTTTCTTTAGATATGAAAAGGAGGCCACAGCGCGTGGCATGGCTTTGGCTTGCTTTCGGTCTCGTCCCGTCAAAAACTCAAAATCGATTTAGCGGGTCAGGTCAGGTCAACCCGGCGGGTCGGGTTCAGGTTGACATTCCTGACCCGTTTATAAAATCCGGTCGGGTTAGGGTCAACCCATTTAGACCCGGGTCAATTTTGGGTTGGACCCGAACCCGACCCATCGACCCATTTTGACACCTCTACTCCGAGATCAAGACTTTCCATTTTAGATAATTTGTTCATGCAAATGAGAACTCGTAGGTCTGTTGTTTCTTTTCTATCTCCTCGCATCCATGGGCTTTTGGCAAGAATGGATTCAATCTCATATATTTAATCAAAATCAACAACTGAGATGGCACTTAATGTTTTTCATCAGGAAGGGAGCTCTTAACCTCTTTTTAGGATTCTTTAGTATGTTGGTCTTCTCCATCTCCTTTAAAGTAGGAACAATGAACCTGATGGCCTTATACCTTTTGCCTCTTTTTATAAGCACAAACTTTTGTCATCTTCTAAAGAAGATATAATCCGAATCATATAGGTATGGATTGTCCATCATTAAATAACATGCATTCAATGGTACAGCTTTAAAGACTACAACATCAATAACATCTCTAAAGAAAGCAAACCTAAGAGTATATTGCCTAGTGACTTGACAAGCATTACACTATTCAAACTAACAATGGATAAAGGTTTTGGATGCCTAGTAAAAATAAATAAAATAATAAAAATAATAAAAAAATTCATTTTACTCTTTTTAGGATTCTTTAGTATGTTGGTCTTCTCCATCTCCTTTAAAGTGGGAACAATGAACCTAATGGCTTTATAACTTTTGTCTCTTTTTATAAAAACAAAATTTTGTCATCTTCTAAAGAAGATATAATCCGAATCATATAGGTATGGATTGCCCATCATTAAATAACATGCATTCAATGGTACAGCTTTAAAGACTACCTCATCAATAACATCTCTAAAGAAAGCAAACCTAAGAGTATATTGCCTAGTGAGTTGACAAGCATTACACTATTCAAACTAACTGTGGATAAAGGTTTTGGATGCCTGGTAAAAAAAAAATAATAATAATAATAATAATAAATTCATTTTACTACTTGGATCCAAAATAGCATTGATGAGGGTAGATTTCACTTATATCTTGAGTAGAAAAATCTTCCCTAGCTTCCTCAATAGCTTATATATGCAACATCAAGGATAATAGATGATAGCATTTGTCACTCCAATTACTTCTTATGGAGTAGCAGTGAGGATATTATAGTTGTCTTCCCATTTTAGCATCTTTTATGGATATTAAATCCATCAATCCTAGTTTGTGCCCTTTCTTGTAGCAATAGCAGCATGATTGTTTGTGGTATATGTTTCTCTATAGTTACTCTTTCAATCTTCTTTATTTTCTTTATAGTTACAAATGAAGAATTTTGTTCGATGGAAAGAGTGATTGTTTCCTCCGTAAGTACTGATGTCAGCAACTGGAAAAAGCTCAATAATATACAAAACTTTTATGAGCCTTGCTACATATTTCATTAATCTATGTTTTTTCATTCAACAAAATTTCGGAAGCAGTTTTCTACATTCTAAATTCAAGAAGGTTTCTTGAACATTTTGCCAGCAAATTAGCTTCAAATTCAACCATCAAATATACTTTTATGTTCCCTATATAATGGAGTAAAATTGAGCTTTTAACAATCTTTTAAACTTTCATCATGTCATGTGATTGATAGCATATAATTTTTAGATTGTGAATTCCACCACATTAAAGCATTTGAGGACAACTTCAAACAAGCAAATGTGATTTTCTTCCTATCAGCATAATCATTAATCATAAATATGTTTCTAAAAGATCAAATCAATTATTTATTATCTAGCTTTGATTGCTCCATCCTAGTAAGGAAATTCCAACTTCTCCACCCCTTGATGGGAAGAAACTTCTTCTCTCATTTTTGTGTTGTTGTCAGCTTCTCTCCTTGAGTCCTTGTTAATGTATTTTCTCTACAGGTTGTCAACTTTTAGCGGATGTTTCTTCTTTTGCCTGAATAGCTAGTGATGCTACCTTAACAATAAGTGTTTCATAAAGAACCATCATTTTCAACATTTACTCCTTTATCAAGGCTATGTAAACAGTCATTTGCTTTGCAAATTTTTCTTTCATGTCGAGAAGAACTTCAATTGACAGTAAAGTCTCCTCTTAGTAATCCTTAGGCTCCATAGAATCACATAGAGTATTCTTTTCAGACCTTAGTCCAATAATGAAAAAATTATCTGTGTTAAAATCACTACGGGAAAACACGCGATTACAGTCGGATTTTCCGGCGGAAAATTATGCGCCGGTAATAACGGCGCAGGCAACGGCGGAATTGTTCGATGAAAATCTTGCGGCGACATTTCCGGCGCAACATACGCCGTAACGTTACCGACGCCGGTTCCGCCGGCCAATCCGACGGTATAGTAATGTCTGAACCAATTCCGTTGCACGTTACGGCGGAACATTTCCCGGCGTACGTTACCGGCGGACATTGGCCAGAGTATTTAAACTCAACGAAATATGACCTACGTAGCTTGCGTCAGAAATGATACCGGCGTCACCGGCGTCGAAACCGTCGGAAATTCCGCCGGTAAAAGCCCTATTTCCCGAAACCGAACCCCTCTGGCCGTCATTCGTTTCCTTCCGTTCTCTCACTTCGCCTGCTTCGCCTGTCGCCCTCCGTCGCCGTTCGTCGCTCGTCGTGGTTAGACGTCGCCGACGGTCACCGAACTTCGCCGTCGACGGTCACCGGACTTCGCCGAGCCTCTCTCATTCCTAGTCGCGCGCCACCTCTCTCATTCCTAGTCGCGCGCCGCCGAGGGTCATAGAACGACCGAAGGTATTTGTTTTCGTTTTTTTTTTTCCTATTTCGGTTGGATTACATATAGGATTAGCCTTAAGTCCATATCTTTTTGCTTTAGTCATGGTTGTTATCACTAGACATTTGCTAGAGGATGTACCTTGGTGCATGCTTTTTGTTGATGATATTGTTCTTGTTGATAAGACTAGAGAGGGAGTTGAAGGTAAACTTGGATTATGGAGATCAACATTAGTCCATATCTTTTTGCTTTAGTAGTTAGTAGACCTAGTGAGGGGATTGTGACTTTGAGCGATCAAGTCATTAATAAGTGTAACACGTTTTAAATATCTTGGATCTACTATTCAGAGAAATAGATATGGATATTAGAAATCCAGTTTCTTTTAATGTGATGTTTTTAGTTGATTGTTAGTACTGAACTGTTTCTTTTAATGTTATAAACTGTTGTGAAACTGTGGTGAAATTGTTGATCTGTTGTAATGTTACAATTGAAATGTTGTAGAATTGATTTTTGTATAGGTTTGCAGGTGTGGAAATTTGATTGTTGGCTGGGAAGGAAATTTTTTTTTGTCAATGCTACAGGTTTCCGGCGGATTGTACGCCAGAAATCCGCCGGAAAGAACGATACAACGAATTGTATCGTGCGTATCGACGTCTTCCTTCCGTCAGCAACTACCGGCGCATCTTCTGGCGCCAGTTCCGCCGCCTATTTCCGGCGCCGATTTTGCGCCGCAAACAAAGCCGTGGGTTGTCTACGACGAACTTGCGGCGTTTTTATCCGCCGGTACTTACCGGCGGACAATCCGACATAAACTTACCGTCGCATATGGCGCCGGAATTTATCGGTTGCAAGTCGTCGGCACCAACCCGATGTTTTACGCTGGTAATCCGTCGGTACGTGCGCCGGAACGTTTTCCGGCGTATTATATTCGCCGGGAAAAATTTATCGACGCGACCGAAACCGGCGTATGAATTTCCGCCGAAACGTGCGTCGGAAACCTAAGGTTCCGTCGGATTATCTATGTGTTCCGGCGGATTTAGTCCGCCGGTAATAACGGGTTTTCCTGTAGTGAATCAAGCTCTGATACCTAAATGATGGGCGGCATTTGGAAGGCTCATGGAGCAGGAGTATCTAGAGCAATTCAATTAGGTTTTCTATGAATACCTTGAGGGCTAATGGTTTTCTCATTATTTTTGGACAAAATATAATCATTGCTGTTTTTAACAAAACAGGAAGAAAACAACAATTGTGCATATACAAGAATAGGTTCCAAGCAGCTGGAAAGGGGTTGGATTGACTCTGGCTACAAAAGGTAAAGGTAGGACCTTGCAGGAAGAGTAAAAACGGCTGCAAATAAGGGTCTATGATTCCTTTAAAAGCGATCTTGCTTATTCCTATTTATTTGTTATAGATGCTAAGATGCTTAATGATTTGGAGTCATGGTAAGAGCTTTAGTTATTTGTTTAGAGAATCACTAATACATTATAGTAATAAGTTTCTACTTAGGAGTTCAAATAAATGTTTTCTTTTTTATTATTAGTTTACAAGGGTTCAAATCTTGGTTTTAAATTTCAATGGTTTCAATTGTAATTGATTCAATTCAATTGATTTTGTAAGCTTTGACTTAGACAAAAGAGTTTCCGTTAAATTTTAGGTGAAATGGAAGATTTTCGCCTAAAACTCATACATCTTTAATGAAATTCCACTTAAAATCTTGATTAGTTTCCAAAGTTCTCCTAGAAATTTTATCACCAAAGTCTCATTAATTTAATGAGCATTAGAACTTTAACCCAAATTAGATAATCCTATTTGAGGGTAAGAGTGGACTTTTGTAACCTATTTATATAGTGGATAATTTTATCTGGGTAAGGTTTTTCCCTTTCCATGTTTTACATAAATTTTGATGTTTACGTCTTTTTTGTTGTGTGTGTTGGATCCTTATGAAAAGCTATGAAATTAAAATTTTGTCTATTGATTTAAATTTTCTAGCATGCAACAATTATACTGTTTCTTTTCCCATCTCTACATAATAAATTGAATGAATAATTTTGCTTTCTCCCTTAAAACTTCCAATAAAAAAGGTAAACATATTCTTTGTTTTCTTTTCTCCTCACTTTAATCTTTTTATTTTTTTTTCTCAACTTTCAGTAAGAGTTCCTCAATTTCCAATCAGAGAGTAAGAGATAAGAGGAGAAAACTATTAAAAATTTTCTATATGTTCCTAATTGGCCGAGTTTCCCATCCTTTTTGGTGACAAACATATAAAAATCTATAATAAGTCCAAAATCCGCACAGTAATGGTTTTGAATATAGGAGAGTAGACTGATCAGAAAACAAACTTTTATGTCCACCAAGGTTGAAAGCATTTACCTTGAACCTTAATTGAGCAAAGCCAGCAAGTGTAGCAGGGAAGCTGGTCATAAGCTCACGTGAGTGGATTAAATAAGATTCTAACCATTATATATCAAGTTATATGCAAGAAGGACGATCTACTCTTAAATCAGGCCACAAACTTTTTCTAGGTCACATAAACTAAGGTCTTAAAACAATTGTCGCGTACTCCATATCACCCAGGTCAGATATAAGAATGACAACAGTGTGCGTATCTTAACAATGATGATTATAAGAAGGACATATCTTCCCTTGCTGCAAACCCTTTGCATTGTCTGCATAATTAAACGCAATTTGGAAATTCTTAGAAGCACTTGATTGATTCAAAAGCAGTAGAAGCATTTTTTGTAGCACATTAACAACTATCAAAAGCTTTCAATCAACACCGAAGAAGAAGATATTCCAAAAAAAAAAAAATACTGTTTTCGCCTTAGATAGAAACAGAAGTTACGAAATGTATTACCTAAGGTCCAAAAGGAAGAATCAGTCTTGACTGGTGCAGCAAGATCATGCTGACAACATTAAGAGAGCAAAAAACGAGTCAAGGATCAGAAACGAGAATAGGTCAAACAACCGTAGTTCAGCGATTCGAAATTTCATAAGGAAATGGAGATACAAACATTCAGGTATGGTGGATTGCCGCGGATGCCGACTTCGATGTGCTGGGAAACAATCTTGCAAAAGAAGAGCTTCTTTGGAACATCAGGAGGGAGATCAATGTACATGTTCACTTCATCCAGATTCTGATCCCATTCAAAAACCTTCTTCCCTGTAATTTAACATCGCTATAGAATAAAAGGGGAAGACGAACAAAGAAACTTAGAATAAGCATCAAAAGTAAGGAACCTCCATGGAAAAAGCTGTGGCGTTTTTCTGGCGCTAACTTCTCCGCCATCGCGCTGGGAAAAAGTTTCGATTGCTAGGGTTAGGCGAAGTCCCTTGGCGAAAATTTTTAACTCTCAAAGATTGTGGCTCGTAGGCGAAGTCGCTGGGCGAATTCGGATGCAGAAGTTTCTCCGCGAAGCTGACACGATGGAGGAGCAGTCGAACTATGTCGTCCGGGATTCGTCCCGATACCATTACAGAGCTGCCAAGTAACCAAAATATATTGGACCCAGTGTAATCCGGTGATACGGCCCATCTGAATTGTGTGTGAGTTAATAATCCACCGGTTGAGAAAATTATTATGTCCAATGTCCGGACATCAATTCAGACGAGTCATATCATCAAAATATATCAGGACTCAGTATATTCAGGTGATGTGACGCATCTGGATTGGGTGTCCGGAAGTCCGGTGATCGGACTTAATAATTCGCCGGCAGGGAAAATTATTAGGTTCGGTGTCTGGATTCGTCCGAACACCAATCCAGACACTCCACATCACCAAAAATATACCGGGACCCAGTGTATTCAGGTGATGTGGCGCAACTGGATTGGGCGCCCGGACGTCCGGTGACCGGACGTAATAATTCGCCGGTAGGGAAAATTATTATGTCCGGTGTTCGGATTCGTCCCGACACTAATCCAGATGCGTTATGTCACCAAAATACACCTAGACCCAATGTATTCGGGTGGCGCATCTGGATTGGGTGTCCGGACCGGACGTAATAATTCGCCCCGAGGTAGTGCTTGCGTTGCGATGTAGGCTTAAAGATTATTATTATTATTTATTTTTAATACAGACATGCCAAGTAACCAAAATATATTGTGACCCATTATAGGATGATATGACGCATTTGGAATGGGTGTCAGTACGTCTGGTGACCGGATATAATAATTCACCGGTTGGTAAAATTATTATGTGAGGATGTCTGCTCACGTCATCAAAATACATCGGGACTCAGTGTATTCGGGTAATGTGGCACATCTGGATTGGGTGTCCAGACGTCCGGTGATCAGTTGTAATAATTCGTGTGTAGGGAAAACTATTATGTCCAGTGTCTGGATTTGTGTCCGAATCCTGACACCAATCCAGACGTGCCACATCACCAAAATACATCGGGACCCAGTGTATTCGAGTGATGTGGCACATCTAGATTGGGTGTCCGGACATTTAGTGACCAGACGTAATAATTCGCCGGTAAGGAAAATTATTACGTCCGATGTCCGGATTCGTCTGGACACCAATCCAGACGCGTCACGTCACCAAAATACACCGAGCCCAATGTATTCAAGTGATGTGGCGCATCTGGATTGGATGTCTGGGCGTTCGGTGAACAGACGTAATAATTCGCCCCTGGGTAGTGCTTGCGTTGCGATGTAGGCTTAAAGATTTTATTATTATTATTATTTATTTTTAAAGTTAAGGCAACGCTGTTGCATTAACAAAATGAAGAGAGATGGGGATAATACAATTGAATCAATTGATTGCTCTCCGGAGTTTTTGATTTTTTTTTTTTTATATTGGTGGGTATTTAAGAATGGATGACTCCTATGATCATTCTACATGTTTTGAGCGAATTGCTTATGCAAAGATATTTGATAATATAAATAAATTATTTATGTGTTTGATATAGGCTTCATTTGTTATGGCTTTCCTATTGATTTTTTAAGCAATTTTTTGTACAAAAATTATATATATTTTTATTGCAAAAGTGCTTAAAAAAGTAGTAAGAAAGCAGTCCCAAAAGAAGCTATAATTTGTGATGTCTTCTTTTTAATAAACTTTTAAAAAGTTTAAAATTGGGATTTTATTTGAGATAGTGAAAGCTTTTCTATTTTTGCTTTTGAAAACTCATTTTGTTGAATTTGTATGTCTGTGGATGATGCCCGACTTTACTAGCAAGTCTATTCGATGAGCTAGATCATATATGTAAAAATGACGAGGTCATGAAGAGTAGAGAAAAAATAGCTAACGATCTCCAAAAAATGAATATTTAGTATCAATAAAAGAGAAATCTCAGAATCCTTCTCTCTTCCTCCTCCCCCCTCAAAATTATTCATCATCACATCTTATGATTTTGAGAGGTGTCAAAATGTTATACATAGAGTAAGTAAACATTATGAGCTACATATAATACTCATGCAATGCTACAATCTAATGTAGAAATGTGTTTCCACCTGACAGACTGAAGGAGGTGAAGTCAATGATCTTTTAGGCAAGTTCTTCTCGAGCAAGCTAGGTTGTAGTGAGTAGAATTCAGGTGAATATGTGAGTGAGTCCTGAGATGTTGGGAACCAACGAATAGTGAAAGATAGTGTGGCAGACAACTTGTATAGAAGATTTTCGGGCTATCTTGAAAGGAAAGGTGAGAATAACATATTGGGAATAAAGAGCTTTAGGCCAAACATTAATAGTTGAATGATGTGTGGGTTTCTCTAAGAAAGCACTTTCCTATAGCTAAGCTTGATAGGTTGAAGATGAAGGCTCTAGGGGAAAGCCAGTGATTGAGGTAGGAGTGAGATTTGCATGTATGACAAGGAAATTTTTATTCTCCCCGTGCAAGGTAGACCCCTTGGTAGGCTCAAGTGAGTAGTGAGTGGTGAGTAGAACCTGTTGGTCTCCTCACGCTAATCCCTTTGATAATCCCAGACGACAATTCCAAAAGAACACCTCTTGAAGATATGTCCTCATAATGACTCGTTAGCCACTTGTTAGATAGTCATGAAGTCATATATGAGTATACGAATTTATCACTGACAGTTTTAAAAATATTTGTTTCAAAAATAATTTTTTAAAGGAAAATTTTTAAAATAACAATGAAAAGTTGTCTTTCAAACACGCATTATTCTTTTTACTAGCTATTTTTCTCATCATAAAAATAATCGAAAAACTATTCCAAATAAAGCCCGAGAGTGATGGGCAAATAGGATCTCAAATAGGAGGAGGTTATTAATAAGATGTATGGGAACATTAAGTTTAATATTATATCTGAAGAATGGAAAATATATTAACATAAATAAATATGATTAGTTCTCCCACTTAATTAATTTTAATCCTTTTGATTCACTAAAAAAGTTTCTTATATTAATTACTCAACGACCTTCAAAGGCAAAATTTGTTCACGAAAATAAATAAATAAATATAAGCAAAGGCGCATCTCAAACTAACCTTATGGGCATTCCATCAAACAGACACCACGCATGAATATTAAAGCCATTAATAAGAAGCCTATCGCATTCAAAAATATTTGATCCACAGATTAAAGCCCGTAGCAAAGACTATATTTAATGGGCCCAAGCTACCCGGCCCATTATATGAGAAATAAGCTCAATAATACTTTCATGCATATCATTGATTTTTTAATTATACTTGTATATTTAATATTTAAATCTTTATATTTAGTCATATCATTTTAATTTTTGAATTATAATAAAAAA